AGAGAGAGAGAGAGACTCATCAAAGTCACTCGGACTTGGCAAGATGCCAAGTCCGGATGCTCCCCAACTCAGGGTATATATACTTTATTTATAATTAACTTATAATTGATGCAATCTTTGTTTAAATCTTTAATTATAATTGATTTATACTTAGTTTTCTAGAAACATTTTATGTTTCTATGATTTTTATGATTTTTTATTATTCTCTTACTTTTCCTGCTTTTTAGAAATTATGAGAAAATGATATTCAATCAATATTCTAATTTTTTCTGTACTTCGAAAACATTTTTCACTTCTTATATACTTTTTATGTTGTGTACCATTACTTTCGGCTTTTCCTGATTTTTGCCTTTTTTAGTATTTTTTTCCCAAATTTGTTTTTGATTTTTTTGGCTCTTTGGGAGGCACGGGCACAACTCAAGCAACTTCACTTGAAGTTGCTCGAGTAACTCGGCTCGCCCAAGGGGTGAGTTCTGAGTCCGAGCCGTGTTTTGAAACATTGGTCCAAATCCCCTTGGACCCCTTCTATCCTAGCTTCCCATAATGCCTCTGGTTCAAATCCCCTTCTATACTCCAAAGCCCCATACTTCAGTGTAACAGCTCCTACATAAGCTATAACCTATATGTATCAATATGCATATAGAATGCTTGTGACAACATTCATGTCCTGACTTGTGTGAAACGCAAGAGTCATAATCCGCAATCCCCTATCCATGTTAGTATTTGTATTCATATCTCAGGCATTTTCAAACTCAAGTGTCAAATCTCCAGTATGAACAGATATTCCTAAAGGCATCAGTTAGTTTATAAAAACATGTAAAACATGGGCATGGTAGCCTAGACATAAGTCGATTCTGTTACCACAAACTGGGTAAATAACAGGGGAAAAGGACTTCATAAATTTTATGCATACTTATGAACATATTCAAATTGGCATCCTATGGTCCAAAGAAATAGATGCTATTTAATATAGACAAGAATTATACACTAGCATAAACAGACAAATACAATGAAACATACAATCGAATATTACATACAAGCTCCAATCGTAAGGTATCTCTCCCTCCCGCCCTCCCTCCATGAAGCTACATAGCTATGTATGGGTATATCTACATATATGCGTGTATATATACATTATATACACACGCACACATAGAGACGTGCCTGAGCACAGATGTGCACATGCCTGCACAGAGCCGTATCCATACCAACATGTGCAACACTCCTGCAGAAGCTATTTAAAAGCACATAAACAAGAAATGCCATTCAAAATGAGATTCTAAATGTTTGCAGCCACAAGCAACAAATTCAAGATAGTCTAAACCTTCAGAAAACTCCTCATCCCAAGACAGATCGACTATGGTATGATCTCCTAATCCCCCTTTTCTTGATGGTGCTGATCTCCTAATCCTCACCAGTAGAACCTTGGCAATTAACTTGCATTGACAATCCACCAAGCAAATCAGCTTAAATTTCTCGTATGAATTACATAATCAATCTCTAAAGAGATTCACAGTTGGTGACAATCCTAATCTCCTAAAAGTGACCTAGTTTGCTTTTTTTTGCTTTAGTTTTTTTTTCTTTTGGTAAGCAACAATCCCCAAGCTCGTTGTAACTAGAATAAAGCCCCTAGAAGACACTGTGGATGTCTGTTAGCCACTTGCCTCACATGAAAAAAGCCTTACAATGTTTTCTGAAGCTCCAACAACCTAACTTTAAAGGAGTTGTTTGTCACAAGAGCAAAGACTACGTCCTCCTCCTCTCACCTAAGTGCATTACTGAAGAACAGTTATGACTACATAATAATGCAATGTGCTGCTCTAGACAACAAGGCTCCTATAGTACTCCTAGATAATTCTGAATGGGAAGATCGTCTCTGCTCTGCCCCTACTCATGTTTCCAGGGACAGTTCATAGGGCTTTTCCCAAGGGCGTGAATATCTATAGTTGCACCACCATCTATAATGCTCAATGTTTTCAAGAAAATGGCCATGATTTCTGCAAACAAGACAAGATTTCCAACATTTTCGTCTTTTCTTGTTTGCGTATCAAGACAAAACAGTTGGCTTCATAATCTCATGTGTTGTTTTTTGCTCATTTGTAGAACATCGACATGGAAGCCCAACTTCTTTTTTCTTATTCTTTTGCCATTTTTTTCAGAAATCTTGAATCAATATCAGAGAAACATGAATAAAATTGATTCCTTGATATGACCTCAGCTGTAGTTAAAGGAAGCCATAAATATTAGCAATCTATCCAAGATCAATGGCCCTCCATGATATTTCATGGTGTATATTTCCTGGATCTGAGAACTAGGGGTTAACTCCTTATAAGTGATAAAATTGTGAAAGGAAAGTATATATTGTCTACTAGGTTAGTATGAAAGGTGTTTATTGTAATCAATATGAGAAGGATATGTACAATATCATGTATTTTATGCTAAGTCTGGGTATAGTTTAGGTATCTGTTCTTTATTTCTATTTTTCTCATATGTAATTTGTCTATAAAAGACAAGTTTATACATTCATATAATCAATGGACACAGGGAGTTTCTTCAGAGAACCCTGATATTCTTCACAAAAATGAGGGAAAGTTGACTTTGGTAATCTGGCCATGTGCAGCACCGACCTAGAATAACACCGGTTCGGAGGGGTGACTTGGTTCAAGTAGAAGTCTCTAAAAGGGTAAGGGAAGGCCCAAAAGAACATGGATGGAAGTATTGAGGAGAGACATATTTACTTATAGTTTGACTGAGGGTATGGCCCTCGAAGGAGCAGGAGTAGAACAGTAGAACTAAATTTGTTTAACCGACCCCAAATGGTTGGGATAAGGCTAGAATGATGATGCATTGATGATAAGGATGTTTACTAGAACTATCAGGTCTAAGGAAAAATCAGCATTGTAATGATCAGTATTTAGAACTTATCATCATTTAGTTTAAATTTGTTCAAGTGGAATGCTAAAAAAGAGCGAAAGGACATGATCGGAAGTAGTGAGATAGACCCAAAAGTATATGATCCGAAGTAGTGAGAAAAGATACATGGACTTTTGGCTTATGCCCTTTAATAAAGAAAGAATGGCCGACCAATATTCGTGTAGCCGACCCCAATTAGTTGGGAAAAAGCTTTGACAATGATAATCATTTACTTTAAATTTGACATGCACTAAAACTCGGAAATCTGTTTGTGCTACACAAGAACTTCCATTCTCTTTCATAAGATAGAGCTTAAAGAGCTTACACCCATTACGCAGATTGAGCCATCTTCTCATATTACCAAACCAACCACAAATAAAAACATTTTAACCCCGTCTCCACACCTTGCTCAAATGAGCAAATCCAAAGAGGCCAATCCTTTGGTAATTTTTCCAACGCATGATGAGCAAAGTTCAAATTTAATATTTTCAGCAAACTTTTGGGGGAATTAATCAATAGAAATATTTACACAAATGATATGAAATACATCATACAATAAGTTGGGAAATAATGATGATTAAAAGACTGAAAGAGCTTCAGTTGAATGATGTATAAATTTCTTTTGGTACAGTATTTGTTCAATCAATCTACAATAAACTAAGCACCCCATTCCTAACCTCACCATCACATGCCATTACATTACTAAATGAAGTTGAGAGAGAGAGAATACCTTGATATATGGTTGAAGAGAGAGAAACAAGGGCAGTTTACTTCTACTCTCTCTCTTCAAAACCAGTGATACATGGTTTTTGACACCCTGCAAAGGCATCCACGCGTTGGAGATCCTCTCATGGGTGAATGTTCATCATCTCAACCGTCCAATACCTGGAAAGATGGGTATATAATCCATAGTTGAGCACCATAATCCATGGCGATGAGGAGAGTGGTCTTGGCAAAAATATCTTTATATGTCCAATCTCCTTCCATCAATCCCATAAGCACACTATATCAGTGTTTTAAAAACCGGATGAGTGGGGTAGATTGTCCACCCTATCCCTGTTCGAATTAGTTGGATTGGCGATCTAAATCATTCTCAAATCGTATAGCTTGGTGATCTAAAAATAATTTGAAAAATAAATAGAAAAAAATAAAAATAAAAATAGGTATATGGGGTTGGGATTTAGGAGGGACCGTAACCATCACTAGATAAGCTTAAAGAGAAGGGAAAAAAAGTTTGAAAAGTGGAGATTTAGCGGTGAACCAGGTTAACCATCAATAGATAAGCTTAAAGAGAAGGGATTTTTTTTTTGAAAAGTGGAGATTTAGGGGTGAACCAGGCCGGAATCCATACCATTTTGGAATCGATTCGGTCTAGACTGATTCCACATCCGGATCGGCAACCCAGATAAAAAATCACCAAGTTTTGAAACACTGCATTATATATTTACTCCCACGGCGAAAGATGTGCATAAAATGATTTCTTTCCATTGAAATTTCATGATCCACGTCAAAATCGCCCTATGCGTATTTGAGAATAATTAGAGAAAAGTTGTAGAAGTATACTAAAAAAATGGTTTTTTCCAACATCTAAACCCCATACAATTGATCATCTCAACTTCAAGATGGAATAGAGGGAAAAAAATGATTTTAAATCTTAAAATAGTGCATCTTATAACAAATTATTTAGGCCATTCATTTTCAAAAACTTTAAGTGTTCATAGATGTGTTTGATCTACACCATTTTTGGAGTTTAAACTTTTATAATTAGGGGTGAAAATAAATGTTTAGCCTATCATAAAACTTCCAATAACTACATTTTTTAGTAGATGTGCTTGAATCTACACTATTTTTAAAATTTTAATTTTCATATTTAGGGGTGAAAATAAATAAATAATATCTATATAAATATGGATGAACTCTCAACCTCTGAGCACGTTGGGACATCTAAGATCATTAGTGGTTCACTAAAAGAAAATTGCTACATTATTTCGTAGTTTATTCCAAAGCATATATAGGGATAAACTACAAAACGCTATAGCATTTCATGGGCTTGAGTTGGGAGCCTCATGGCTCAAACCACACTCAAAAACTCCTATTCATGGAGTTTTGGATCAATCATCACCTAGTGATTTGCTTTCGAACCCTATTTTCACCCCAATTTACCTCAAAATTATATGTCACCATAACATTTGAAGGCGTACCTTACCTCATGCATCCGTATGCAAATTGCACCCTTTGTTAATTGGGTTTTGTTAGGCGTGGTGGTTTATACTCCTAATGTTCTCAACATTTTTTGACACTTAAATACCATTGAATTGTATTACAAAAGTTTTCAAGTAGGGGCATTTTTTATCATTTATAAAGGTAGAATGGATATTTCTATAAAAAAATAGTGACATTAGTAGTTAAAAAACAATTAATGCATCTTATAGGTGATGTCGCACACCATGTTGGTGACGCCATTGTCCACTATTGTTAATAAATATATATTTTTTTATTAAGAATTTTAAATTTACTATTGATTAATTACTTAAAATACCCCTACACAAAAAATTACTACACTAAAGGATAAATGTATGTAAGTGTCAAAAAATATTGAAGACTTTTAGTATACACCATCAATACCATAAACAAAAAGTTACTGCGATGTACTACAGCCACGACCTCAGCTCCTTTCCTAGAGAGTAGGTTTGAAACATTTTGGATTAAACTTCCACCCCTTTTTACAGCGCTTTAACCAAGGCTTTGACCTACTCCTTGTTCCATTGTTGTTCCTTGCCCACAGAGCTCGTTTTCCCAGCCTTAGCATCCTCCCTTATGATATTAATGAAATAGTTATTTGAAGGACCCTCATTAACGCATTCTCTAGGGTCTTCTTCCTTTGAACTTTTTCTATCACAAGCCTTGAAACATTATGCAGAGTCAACTAAACTGAATCCCAATCCAGATCAATATATTTTCAACTTCAATTTGCAATGTCCCCAAATTTCCATGCTTGTATCAGAATATCATTCACCATGCACTGTGTCCATGTAAAGGTTTGAAAGAATATGAGTTAGGCATTAATGGGACTACTGTGAGAAGCTTCCCTTGCATTATGCAATATCTTTGCACCAATGTTTAAAGAAACGGATCAGTGGCATGGATCATCCCCCTACCGATCCTATATCACGTCCCCTATCTATATGTCCGAGTTCAAAACTCGAACCATTAGTAAAAAGTTGAGAGGCACTAGCCAAGCTCACTTTAAGCTTCTTAATGAAGATTATCTATTACATAATATATAATAGATAAAACATTGGTTGAGCCCAAAAGCCGGAACATTCTTGGGTGATTCCCGATCCTGATCGTGATTTTTAAAGCACTGCATTGGAATAAGGCCAGCTCAGCGTCCTTCTCATTTTTTAGCATAAAGAGAACCCTATGTTGAGACATTGTTTGCAGACTGGAGTTTTTGAGCTTTTATAGCCCATTTCTTTAAACCTTTTTAAGTTATTAACTAAGGACAAAAAGATCCTAACGCTCAGACCTCAAAGTATTTTTGTTTCTCCTTGTAAATGTCTTTACCCATAGATACACTAGGGGTACCTACATAATAATCAATGTTTTTTGGGAAGTTTTCTGCGAGAAAGATGGACATTGTGCAACACTGGATCAAATAACGTATGGACGTTGCCAAAAAAATCACATTTTAACATATGGATGTTGCCAAAAAATCACATTGTGTAAAGCACACTGGATCAAATAACGTAGTGTAAAGCACACTGGATCAAATAACATGTGGACGTTGCCAAAAAAAGCACCCTGGATCAAATAACATAGGTATAGTAATTTTGACTATTACCAAACCTAGTACCTCTATGCTTTGAAAATATGTAGTTGCTGAAGCTTAACACAATCCTCGTACCTCTATGCTATGGATTCCACTAGTCTCTTACTGCTCCCCATCTCTCTCTCTCTCACATACCTGCACATGCGCACCCACACCCCGACTAGGGTCATTCAAGGACTAACACCCTCTCTCTCTCTCTTTCAACCATTTGCTGGTTGGAGACAATTTTTCAATCATCCTTTGTTTATTATGTGCTCCACAGTCCCATCTCTCTCTCTGGGTATGGAAATTTAATCCTCATAAGATTCAAACTTTTTTTCTAGACTATGTACTTACCATTAATATGCAGAGAAAGAAGGGTAACATAATTGTGAATGTGTTCCTTCTGTGTAAATAAGAGAAGAAAAGTATTGCTCATTGTTCTTGCATTCTAACTTCATTAGAAAGGTTTTAGAATGAGAAATGCAACAGTTGGACATTCACTTGACTCCCTTAGTAGCTGTGGATCTAAAGAAAGGTGTGATCATTTGGAGCATAGTGAAGGGAACTTTGTTATTGGAGATATTAAAGGAGAGAAACTGTAAATTTTTTGAGGTTAAAGCCTTGGATGAAGAAAGAGTCAAAGAAAGGATTAGGGAGATGGCTGCAAATTGGGATGAAGACATCAAGGAATGCTTGGGGGTATCAAGAGTTGGTCTTCTGTTTAATTTGAATGAGGTGGTACAGATGGCATTGAGAAGGAATCAAAGAACATGAAGATTGATGTCTTCTCCACTTGGCGCATTCGAATTAAATTTCGATGGGAGATCGTCAGGGAATCCGTGGCAATGACGGATCAGTGGGCTGATAAGAGATTAGTGCCAAAATGGGAAATTACAGCTCATCATCGTCATCAAAGCTTTTTTCCAACTATTTGGGATCGGCTAAAATGGAAAATTACAGCTAATGAGGTAAAAATGATGGCGGTTTTACAAGGTTTGAAGCTAGCTTTTGGAGGAGGAGCACCAAGTGATTGTCAAAGGGAATTCTTTGAATATCATTACATGGTATTGGGAAAACAAAGGATCAATTGGACAAGACAGAAACATTTCCTTTTCCCATGTTTACTGAGAATCTAAATAGGATATAGAGAGACGGTGTGCATTGAATAATTATATAGTTGTAAATAGATTTTGATGTTTTAGTTCTTGGCTGTAATTTTCCATAGCATGTGGGTATATACTTTCATTATAATTGTAGCATAGTAGTGAAATTGGACCTGGTTAATGTTCAGAAATAAATGAATAAAGTCATAGTGTTATGTTTGGTCTAGAATTTGAAAGAAAATATTTATAATGCATGGTTTTTCCATTATTTCTAGAAGCGTGCTTGGTAAGTATGTCCTTTATTTATAGAAAGTTTATGATGTCACTAAATTAAAAAACATACGCGGGCTATTACATATGTTCTGATTCACCTGATTATATAATTTAAAAATGTTAATTTAATTCTTCTTCTTTTTAACGTACCATTGTTTCCAATGATCCAATCCAATGTTTAACTACTCATTCCGAGTTCCGAGTATTGGGTCACCACGCAAGCGAGCCCAAGTTTCTCCGAGCTGGGTTTCTGACTCGGGGATTTCAAAAAATTTAAAAACCTCGTAAAAAATATCAAAAAATAAGGAATTTATTTGTGATATAATTCTTTTATGTTTTCTATCATTTTGAAAAAGATTGGACAGTGTTTTAACCAGTGTTTAAAAAAACGTCGAGTCGAACTGGACAGAAATCGCCATAGACGGATCAAATCGGTGAAAAAAAAGGGAATCATCCGGTTCTAGAGAGAATCAGACGATTCTGCACAGTGACTCGCCGTTTCACTGTACGGAATCGGCGATCCAGTATAGTAAATCGGCGACTCCCGTACGGAATTTATTATTATTATTATTATTATTATTTTTTTTTTTATTGTAATCCATGATAGAATTTTTTGTAATACTTGATCGATTTTTTTGTAATCCATGATCGAATTGGTTTTTTTTGTTTTTGTAATCCATGATCGAATTTTTTGTTTTTTTTTGTTTTTTGTAACCCATGATAGAATTTTTTGTAATCCATGATCGAATTTTTTGTAATCCATGATCGAAATGTTTGTTTTTTTTCTTGTAATCCATGATAGAATTTTTTTTTTTTTTTTGTAATCCATGATAGAATTTTTGTAATCCA